CACCACGCTGACCTATCATGATGGAAGGGTTCACAATGAGTCCAGAGGCCTAAGGGTCCGACCCACCACGCTGACCTATCATGATGGAAGGGTTCTGAGCACAGTGAGAGGAAAGTGTAGAACAAACTTCAAGTACATTTAAAAACTGGGTTGTTTTTTTTCGGATCAGACTTACTAGTCTAATCGAGATTGGTGGAACCCCTAAGGCTATGGCCCTTAGACACTCTTCACGTAGAACGGAACCCACCGTTGTCTTTCACCTGACAGTCAAACAGCAGGCAGCTGAGAAAGTGAACAACACCTGTGAGGATCGTGCTGTTCAGCCTCTCCAAGGACCACCTTTGCCCCAACGCAACATTCAGAAGACAGGAGAGGGCAGGAAAGACCAACAGAGGGGGCAGTGCTGATACACTGAGAGGATTGCCACCCAATCCCTGAACCAATCGATGTGTGGATTGTCGAATAGGAAACGGCTTTGCTTGGTCAACTCTCACCTGAACCACAAAAGAGAAAGAGCTGGGAAAGGAGGGGAAGAGGAGAGAGCCAGTAATGGATTGCTACACAGACCTCTTTAACGTGTTAAAATGCGAGGAGGGGCTGATATGAAGGGCTCAAGTAGAAAGCACATGTTTTGAGAATGATGAGGGCAACAAATGTACAAATGTGCTTGACACAATGGATGGATATATGGAATGTGATAAGAGTTGTACGAGCCCCCAATAAAATGATTTTTTTTAAATGTTAAAACGCAAGATGTGACTTTGAGGACTAAGTCTCAAGTCTAGTCTTTCAGTCACCTCTCCTGCATGCAAGAGCTGGACCATGAATAACGAAGAACGGATCCTTTGAATCATGGGGTGGTGAAGAATGGGAGTACACCGGGGCTGCCAGAAGGTGGAACAAATCTGTCTCGGAAGAAAGGCAGAGAGAATGCTTCCTAGGAGTGAGGGTGGCACCTCACATATTTTGGACACTTTATCAGGAGAGGCCAGTCCCTGGAGAAGGACCTCAGATTTGGTAAAGTGGAGAGTCAATGAAAAAGAGGAAGACCCTCAGTGAGATGCATTAACACAGTGACTGCAAAAAAGTGGGCTCAAATTCAGCCATGATTTTGAGGAAGCTTGGGACTGAAGGGTGCCTGGTTCTGTGGTCACTGTGTGTGGGACGACTCAATAGCGTCTGCCAAAAGCAGCGATAAGACTACCCACCTACCCTCTGTTAGTGGATTGGCTGTCACTCTGAGGCTGGACGCTGGGCCACCAGTGTTTCAGACACCAGCAGGCTCACCCAAGGTAGACAAGTGGCAGAAGAGCTACCAGATGAAGACAGACTAAGAAGAAAGGTCTGGTGACCTAATATAAAACATTAGCCAGCTATCAAAAAGTATAGCATCTGGAGTCTTCAAGGCTTGAAGGTAATCAAGCGGCCATCAAGCTCAGAAGCAACAAAGCCCACATGGAAGAAGCACACCAGCCTAT